CCTAATCCAATATGACTGGATGGGGCACCTGGCTGGCTTAGTCGGTTAAGCCTCCGACTTCAGCTCAGGTCATAATCTCACGGTTTGTGAGTTCGAGCCCCGCGTCGGGCTCTGTGCTGACAGCTCAGAGCCTGGAGCCTGCTTCAGATTCTGTGTCTCCCTCTCCCTCTTCCTTCCCCCTGCTCCCGCTCTGACTCTCTCTGTCTTTCAATAATAAATAAACGTTAAAAAAAAATTTGTTTTAAAAAAGAGGAAGAAATTTGGAAACCGAGTCATACACACAGGGAAGACAGTGCAAAGGCGGAGGGAAAAGATGGTTAATTGTAAGCCAAGGAGAGAGGCCTGGACACAGCCTTCCATCACAGCCCTCAGAGGAGTCAACCCTGCTGACAGCTTGATCTCGGACTTCTGGACTCCAGACTGAGAGACAACACGTTTCTGTTGTTTGAGCCACCCAGTGTGTGGCACTGTTACAGAAGTTCTGGAAAACTCATACTCACTCCAAGAAAAACCTCTTGAAAAAAAAGAAAGAAGATACAGGTCACCAACATCCCTAGAGGGTGGGTTAGGGCCACAGGCATCCAGAGCATGTGACAGCCAGGAAGCTAGGCCCTCTCACACCCACAGCCCACCCCTGACCTGGGCGTTTCCGAAACTCAGTTCCTGGACTCACTGAAGGAGGAAAGTCTGAGGCTGGCGCCCGAGCTACTCATTTACCATCTTCGGTGAGACCCAGGCGACAGTTTTAGGCCAGGGGAAAAACTGATGACATAGCATTTCAGGAAGATCACTATGACCGTTGCAGGGAGGAGGGCTGCTGAGGTGGTGTGGCGGGGCCCATGCGAGCGATGAAGCAAGATGTGAGCAGTGGGGGCGTGAGGGACGAGAGGAGGTCTCTGGCGTGAGCACCTGGTGGAGGTCACTAGAGCGGCCCTGGGAGAGGAGCAATGGGTTGGTTCTCTGCTTGTCACATCAGCATTGTCTGAGGGACACCCACCCAGACGCCCAGGGCCCATCAGCAGCCGGAGATTGGGCCTGGAGCTCAGGATATAGATGTGGATTTGGGCGTCCCGGTGTCTGGGTGGCCCTGTGTCACGGGCGTGAGACTGTGATGCAGGAGTGGCCGTGAGCAGCTTCTCCTGGAGCAGACCCAAAGACTGGCATATGGGAGGTGACTGGGTCACAGCAGGGAGGGAGCTGGAGGGCGGGGAGATAGGGAGGGAGGAATGCCAGTAAAGTGCGCATTAAGGTGGGTTACTGGGGCTCAGTCCTATGGGGGGACTGTGGGGGGGGGTGGTGAGGCCTCACATGTGTGTTCCTGAAGGGTGAGGAGGCCCATCCCTCATGGACGGGCTTGTTCCTGAGGCCCACCCCCCTCAGTACTTCGGTCTGTCCACACGCAGGCCCGAGCATGTGCCTGTGGCCACAGAAGGGCCTCAGACAGAGACACAGGAAGCTGCGGGAGCTGCAGGTCTGTGACCCCCTGGCAAGTGACCTTTGGGGCCAGCCAGGATATGGCCAGGTCGCTGGCTTCTGCCATTGTCTCTGCAAACAATTGTGTCCGCTTCCGGTCGGGAGTGAGGGGCCCATCTTCTCCCTTCACTTCTCGGAGCGGGTGGGAGCCTGGGTACTGGCAGGCGAGGGCTGGGGCTGAGCTGTGGAACCAGGCTACGGGGCTCGCTGTCCTGGAGGTCCTAGACACCTGCTAAAAGAGCCCTTGATGGTATCAGGGAAGACCATTTCCTGTTTCTACCAAGTCGTCGGATGTGCAAACCATTAAGAAAATAATGACCTCACTCCAGGGCGTTCAGAGAGCCCCCAGACAGCTGCTAGTTAGCTTGCACCAACATCAGGGAAAAGCAGCCAGCTGAGGCTGCATGTGGCCGAGTGCCCTTGGCCTCCTTCCTTTACATTCTCTCCTCCTGCCTCTGCCCCATGCTCACCAGCCCCTCTGCTTCGGAGACGTGTGACCTTGTGTGTCTCACTTTTATCCCTCTGAGACCCAAGTGAGCCTGGACTGGCCATGTGGCCCTCACTCTTCGGGGGCCAGGGCCCTCAGGGATTATCTCAGAGCCAATTCTCCCACCAGGGCCTGGGCATCTGGGCTCAGAGAGGAGCTGCCCCCTATCCCCCTGTTTTCACTGCCCCCGGATTAACTCAAAGGGGAGAGCTCTATTCTGGGGTTTGCTTCTTAGAGTGTAGATGTTGGGAGTGGCTGAAGGCAGGGTGCCTTTGATAGGACAGGGGTGTGCGGAGTTTGTAAAAGCGTGGGTTTGGGTGAGGGCAAGCGCCTCTAGGCAGGTGAGACTGACGGTGTAGATGCTGGCACAGGCTGGACGGGCCACGGAAGCCAACAGGCCTGGTGAAGTATGGGCGTCGACTGGTGTCAAGGTGTGGATATCCATGACGGCGGCTGGGTGTTAGGATGTCAGTGGATAAAATAACAGTAGTTATGACTTGATAGCACTTACCATGTACCTGTCGCTGTTCTTAGTGTTTTACATAAATTCCCACTCGTTTAATTTTCACAACAACCCCACAGAAGACATTCCTATTTTTTAAGGAGAGGAAACAGAGATGGAGAGGTTTAGTAGCTGCCTGAGACCATCCAGCCAATAGCTGGGGCTGACTCAGAGTCCCCACTCCTGGTTCCTCTGCCCTACAGCAGGGACGGGGCGCGGGCTGTGGAGGTGCGGGTGTGGGTAGACTCAGGGCGTCTGTGATTGTGGCTTCAAGTAGAGGCTGCCAGGTGTAGGGGAGCACGTGATGGATGTAGCTGGGGTGGGAGGCCTGGGAGAGAGCAGGAAGAAGGGCACAAGGGAAGTGGTCCTGGCCGGGACCGAGCAGGGGTCTCAGACTCCAGCAGGGAATCAGAATTCCTGGACCATTTGTTAAAACCCTGTTTCTGATTCAGGATTTCCAGATGGGGCTTGAGAACTGCCCTTCTAGTAAGTCCTCAGATGATGCCGATGCCGCTGGTCTGGGGACCAGACTTGGGGGCCACTGGCAGGCGAGTGTGTGGGGGTGATGATGAAGCACAGCAATTGGTGCTGAGAGGTGAAGCACCAGGTGGGTAGATGAGACTAGAATGGAGGGGACTTGGGAAGCGTGGCTGGGTTGCAGGGCTCGGAGGAGTTTGTCAGAATGAGGTAGAGGAGTAAGTGTGGGGGAAGCCATATTGAGGCCCTGGCTTCCGGAATATGGCAAAGGCAGTGCCTACAATTCCCTCTTGAGGGTCTTGCTTCCTGTGTCCACCTCCTGGGTGGGAGCCATCAGGTGGGAGCCGCCTGGCCAATGTCTGGGTATCCTCTCTGGTCTGTGGTGGGAAAGCAGTGTAACCCTAGGTGGGGGGGGGGGGGGGGGGGGCGGCTATGGTGGCAGCCTGGGAAGTCCTAGTGGCCCTCTAGGGTGAAGCCTGTGCATGCGGGTGTCTTGGTGTGCCAGATGGCCAAGACGAGAGGCTCCTCTTCCTTGGGGGTCCCTGAGGCACAGGGGTGTTTCTATGATCACCAGTGTTTCAGCTATAGATTATTGATCCCCAACAAGCGGGTGTTGGGACTGGAGGCCCCTGGGAAGGAGGTCCCAGAGAACTTGAGAGGGTGGGTGGGGCTGAAATCTGTCCAGGAAGGGTTTCCTCTCCTGCCTCGGTCCTACAGCCTGACACTCACTACTGCTCTGCTATGAGCGAGAGGGTTGGAGGTGGTGCTGGAGGTGGGGTTGGGGTGTCCTTCAAACTAAAAACAGGAGCCTTCAACCTGAGGAAGGCCTACTTTGGATTGGGACAAGAACCATTCAGCCGGAAGCTATTGGAGGGACAGAGGATTGAGTAAGAGGCTCCAAGAAGGATGGTTCTACTCTGAGGGCCACTGGTCTCCTGAGGCTGGGCCCAGAGGGGTGATGTGGAGCCATAACTGAAAGAGCCATGTGTTATGGGTTCAATTGTGTCCCTACCCCTCAGTACCTCAGAATGTGACCTTATTTGGAAATATAGTCTTCACAGAGGTAATCAAGTTAAAACGAGGTCACAATGGTGGGCCCTAATCCAATATCACTGGTGTCCTTGTAAAAATGAGAAATGTGGACCCTGAGGCAGACACACAGAGGGACACAGGAAGCACATGGCCACCTACAAGCTAAGGAATGTTTGAGGCTATCAGAAGCTAGAAGAGAGACCTGAAACAGATCCTCTCACAGCACTGGGAAGGACCCAACTCTGCCCATCTTTGATTTTGTACTCCCAGCCTCCAGAACTGGGACAGAATGAATTTCTGTTTAAGCCAGCCAGTCAGTGGCACTTTGTTATGACAGCCCCAGGAAACAAATATACCGTGACACATGGAAGGAGCCGAACCGTCTTAGCAACTGGAAGGAGGCATTTGCTGTAGGCCAGGGTTACTGCTGAGGGCCGGGGCAATGGACCGCCCTGGGAGGTGAGGAAGGTGATATCAAGATGGGGCAGTGTGGCCTAAAGCCTAAAGCTCAGCAGCTGACGCTCGGGGGCCAGCAGAAACCCTGCTTTCTTCAGGAATGCTGTCTCCAAAGGACGCATCTGCTGTGGGAGAGGCAGAAGGAGCCTTCTCTCTGGAGGTGACTGTGAGGTCACAGTGCCCCACTCGCCACCCTGGGCCTCACAAAGAAAGTGGGCTACAAGAACTCCAAGTTCAGAGGAACCAGGCAGGCAGCTCCACTGAGCACCAAATGACTGCAAAAGCCCTTTTCTTAATCAATAGTATTTTATTGTCAGTTATAAATATTTTCCATTTGTCCCCTATTTACAGTTGCAAAATAGTTTATGATATTATACCATCACCCACCATTCGGCACCTTTCTATAAACTCCATGAAAATTGAATAGGAAATAAAAAGCTCTTTTGGGGGGGTCCCGCTAACCTGGTTCCCCCAGACTCAAACAACCCCCCAGACAGCAGGCAGCATTGCAGCAGGTGCTACACAGTAGCAAAGGGACGGGCGGGGGCCGCTCCCAGCAGGGTCAGGACGCCAGGCTCCTCAGGACGTTGGTGATGCTCCAGTGCTGGCCTGAGCACCTCTGCAGCACCAGCTGGAAGCCAAACTCCGAGTCGCTGTTCTCCTGCAGCTCCAGACAGCGCTTGGACTTGCGGTTCTGGATGGGGCCTCCCTGGGAGCCGGGGCAGAGAGTGGAGTCAGAGGCTATAGACGAAACAGGGGAATCTGGGGGGACCTCGGGCCTAGAGTTATCGGTGGGTCCAGATGCCTGGGGTCCAGAGAGGCTACAGGAGGTGTGGGGGCCAGCATTCCCATGCAGCCTCAGGCTGCCCTTCTCTGATGTGTTGGTCTCCTCCCTGAGACCGAACATGTGCCTTGGTTTTCTTCACAGGGCCCTAGTCCTTCGTTAGGACGGAGACACCCTGCCCCAACTTCCATCCACTTGCTGGGGTGTGGCATGCTGGTGTGCTCCCATAGCTCCCACCCTGGGGGCCAGACCCTGGTCCCCATAGGCATGGGCTGGGGTCCTGCTCTGAAAAGTCTAGTTCCTTGGGACTCCCCTCCCCATGACTGGCCTGAATTTGACCACCACCAGAGGCCCAGGACCTCCTGCTTTTAGGGTCCATGTACCCAAGTGGACCTCTAGAGTCATCAGTGTTGGTCTCCACCAAAGTCAGGCTCCTGGATATGTCTCCTAGGCCACTGGGCTCCCTCAGCCCTGGGCATGCATGCTTTTCCCCCATGCTACTGATGTTCTAGAATGTTCTGTAGCCATGCACACTCAGTTTATGCCCAAAGCCTCTTGAAGGAAGAGAGGTGTTGCTCCCCAGAGCAGCCCCATGGCAGCAAAGAGAAGCCCAATCAGTTTTTATTTTAGTGAGGCCCTTGCAGAGCTCAGATACTCTGAGGCTGCTGGCTGTAAGTCTGAGCATCAGCCCGGACTATTTGAGTATCTTGGAGTTATACCAATTCTGCAGGCAGAATTGCTTGGGGTAGGTGGTGGTCCTTATAAGTGCACTCTTTGTAGCTTAATGGCACTTGAGTAGATGTTCAAACTCACCTTCTCCCCAGAATCTACTCCTCTTGTGTTTACCACCTCAGTTATAAATATTTTCCATAAATAATTTCCCCCAAAAGCAATAGCCAGGCATTCGTGTGGGAGACCTGGGCATTCTCACTGACACCTCTGCCTTCTCCCCAGCATCTGATTAGGCACCAAGTCCTGCCAATTCCACACCCCTCTTGCCTGGTGACTGTCCCCTTAGTGCTATCACATCACAACCCTGCCTGCGTTCAGGCCACCATCTTCTGTCCCCTGGACAACTGCATCAGCCTCCTAGTTGACCCCCCTCAGACCTCCAGAGGCAGGGAAGAGTGATGTCTCTGAAATGACGTTTGGTCTAGAGGACAGAGCCCAAGTTCCTTAGCACAGACCTTCATGGCCTCATCTCCTCCCTCAGCCCCCACACCTTTTGTGCAGCCACACCAAACTTCCTGCAGTTGTGTAAAGATTTCTGTATTATCAGGGTTCCTAGACATCAAGCAAGCCGTGTCCTGTGCTGGGGGTCCTTCTCCATGCTTCCGTAGCAGGCCAAGGCACAGTCACATTTCAAGGCTAAGCTCCTGCTCCATTTCTTCCAGAAGCCTCCTTATCTCTCACCTCAGCCCCTCCCACCTCTTCTCCTCCAGGCCACCCAGCTAGCGAGGTGCTATTCACCCGTGTTTTCACCGTGTTTTCTCTATTCGCCCAGCATGATTGAACAGTAGAGGAATTACTAGTTTACTTGTCTCCCCCCCACCCTCCCATACTGACAGCTCTATGTCTTATCAATTTCTGTGCCCTCAGCATCCAGCCAAAAGCCTGGTACATAACAGATGATCAGTAAATGTTGGCAGTCATGACCTGCATAGGTGAGGAGGGATGGGTCTCCAGACAGGGCTGCTGTGTTTCACAGGTGTTTCACTCTGGAGTGGCCCTGAGCAGGCCTGGCAGCAGGGGGAGGGGGGCCCCTGCCTCTTATGACTGCAGCCCACCCCCAGCTACATCCCATGCCCATTCCATTGAACAGCATGCTGGGAGAGGAGACCTCGAACTTCTTCTGAAAAGGGTCATCCCCAGTCAGCTACCACTATCCCCATGGTGATGGCTGACATCTCAGAGAACATGAAGACTCAGTTCTCACAGCGACCTAGGAAACTGGCAGTATTTACCGCGGTTGGACACACGCATCTCCGAGACCCAACACTCCCACACTAGGTCTGTACCTAGCACAAATGCGTGCACCAGAGACAAGCACCTGAGTGCTTTCTTCAACATGATTTGTAAAAGCTCCAATCTGGAAACAACCCAAGTGCCCATCGATAGTAGAATGGATAAATAACTTGTGGTTAGTCACATAACGGAATATTGTACAGCATCACAAATATACAAACTAGAGCTCCACTCAATATGAATACCTAACAAATATCATGTTAGCAGAAGAAGCCAGATAAAGAACACATATATAATTCCACTTATATACACCCCCCAAACAGGCAAAATAGGACCATGGTGTTAGAGCCAGGATGGGGGTTATCTTTAAGGAGGGGGAAGAGGAAAAATGATTGACAGGAGGCAAGAGAGGGGCTCCTGGGATGCTGATGGTATGCTATTTCCTGACCTGGCTGGTGGCAATACAGGTGTTTGCTTTGCTTTAAACCACTGAGTTGAACATTTACATTTTGTGCATGTTTCTGTATGTATGTGTGCTATTCTTCAATTAAATAATTAAGACCAAAAAAATGCAGCTCCCTCAGAAGTGACTTTGAACAGTGGGTGAAGGAGGCAGGTAGTGAGAGACTGGATGGCAAAGGGGATCGGGGGTCTGTGCATGTGTTGGGGAGGAGGAAGAGAATTCCCAATTTCCAGTGGGTGGAAGATGGCCCAGCAAATTTCTTCTGGAATATTCAAGGGAAGAAAGCAGGTCTCTGCTGCTGTGGGCCTGAGGAGAGCCGTGACTCACTGCACCCAAGAGCAGAGAGACACCAGAGCAAAGAGGAAACCCAAACAGCAAGCTCATCTCTCACCCAGAGAGACACCAGCTGACTCAGGCCCTGAGGGGGCAGAGGAACAAGTGGCAGTGAGACAAGGGCTCAGAAAGGACCCTGCAGTCCGAATGTGGAGTTCACTCTGAAGGCCAACCCTCTTGCTCTAATCAGCAACCTGGGTGACCTCTACTTCGGCCTGGGGCCTCCAGCTTTGCTGGGCCTCCTCCAGGGGTGACTCACGTAGCCTCCTGAACCAGCACTTTCTTTTCCATGCTGCTCAGCCCAGGAGCATTCAACTCAAATCCTTGTCATGGAGGCATCCAGCAACGGGCCCCAGACTGTCCCCCTGAGGTTCCCACATGTGGGTCTGCTCCTGCTTCTCCACCCTTTCCCTTCCAATAGAGGAAGGTAGGGCTCATGTCCCCCGAGTTCCGTGCCTTTCTAGTTTAAACTTCCACAAGGAACTGAGCAACAATTTTGTATAATTTTTCCAACCCGCCTGCTCTCCTTTGGACAAACTCCAGTTATTCTGTGTCACTCAGAACTGACTGCCAAGCAGAGGGCCACCACCTCATTTCTACTGGACAACAGACTCTTTCAACACAGCCAATGAATCAGTGCTTTCGGTGGCCACGCCATGCTCCTGGGCTGACGACAGGTTGATAGCTTCAAGTAGTCCACTTGGAAGCTGTGGGACCCCATTCTGTCCCTCAAAAGCTGGACTTGCAGACCCAGAGACATCCCTTGTGACACCTGCTCCAAGCAAGGCCAGCCCATGGCTCTGCCAGGCACAGGTTTCTGCCATTTCTGTTGCCGTGGCCTGAGCGCACCTGTCGCCCACATCCGGGTTGGGCTGTGTCACTGCTGCTTCTTTGGCAGATGTGTGGCCAGGCTCCCCTGACCCTCCAACACTCCATCAGCTGGCGGCGTGCCAGACCCATGTCACTAGGAGTGGAGCTCAGGCAGGGTGCGAATGAGACCAGCCCCACTCACTAATTCATGAGCTCTGCCGGCCTTTCTGGCAGTGAGATGGGAAGGGACGGTGCTGACCTACGATGCTTCCTTCCTGGTTCTTAGCTGGTGGCCCTGGGTGAGCTGCTCTCCACTCTGGTTCCATTGTGTCTAGGACCAGATGGTAATTTCTGTCCTGACTACTGGAGGATGAGAGAAGGAGGAACGGGAAACCCTTCTATCAGCTATAAAACAACCAACGAGTGTGTATCAGGATGAGGGCTCCGGAAAAATTGCACAACAGGCAGAAAAGGGACCAGAGCAAGTGCCCATTCACTCTGCTGAAGATGGGCTTCTCAGAATCTCCTCAGGGGCTGGCCCGGGCCTGTGTGCCAGTGGCTGGGCTGCTTCCGTCAACCCTGGATCACTAAACTGGGGAAACTTGTCCAAAACAGAGAAGGCGCAGTCTCTCCTTTCCTGCTACCACTCAGGCACATTCTAAGCCTTGCACAGGAGCGCCTTGCCAAGCCCAAGAGAGGGAGGAGTGTCTCTGAGAAGGAAAGCATTCCTTCAGAGACTCAAATGTGACATTTCCCAGACCCCATCCTGGCCCTCAGGACCCTGGAGACAGGAAGTGTCATGACCCTGGGGCAGAAGCAGCCAGTGTGGCCTCTGGGAAGGATGTGGAAGAAACAGACCGAGGCCAAGAGCAGTGCTGTGAAGGAGACACAACCTCAGTGAGAGCATCAGGGCCTGTCAGGGAGGGTGAAGCAGGCAGTCAAGGAGAACTTCCTCCCTAGAGGCTCCAAGAGGAGAATCTTCTAGAGCAGAAGAGTAAGGCCCGTGTGGAGGCCTCGCTGAGCAGCCCTGGTCAATGTCTTGGGAACATATCTGGGCTAGAGGAGGAGGAGGCAGGCCACTTTGGGTGAGGGAGCTAGCACTGGCCACCGGTGCTGCCTCCCTCCTGTCCTCCTTCGCAGACCCCAGCCGCTCTCAGTGAATAATCTCTAGGCTCTCACCCTCTCTGGACAGATTCCATCCACCACAGTTGCAAAGGAGCCTTCCTTTCCTGCGGTCCATCCTTCCCTGGTGAGCTCAGCACACCCTGGGGAGCAGTCTGGTGCTGTGACTCTCCGTACCCCTCCCTGCAGGCTCTGCACTGAGATGGAACTAACAGCGGTTGCCACTGATTTC